CTACCCTAGTATAAAATTCTTTATTTAACTAGTACTGCAGTTTTAATATATATATACGTACTCCATTTACTTAAAATAATTATTTGTTCAAACTTCGTTAAATTTTAAATGTATAATGAATGAGTATTTCTCAAAAAAAAAATAAAATAAAATAAAATAAAAATCACTTTCGAATTGTATATTTGAATACTTAAATTGTTTTAAAACTGTGCTCGAGAATTCGTATTGCCCTATTATGCTAACAGACGACCGACAAGACTAGTAGATAAGATAAGATAGACAAAGAAATACGAGTTGGATAATAGAATACAAAGGCGAAATTATTTAAAAATCATAGGAGGGGGGGAGATTAATTTGTAATTAAAAAGTAGGAAAAACTTTTTTTTACATATATTCATATACCTCACCTATGTATACAAAAATTACCAAAATAAGCTAAAAACAAAAAAACAGAACGTTTGATATTTTACTTGAACTCGGTAATAACGTGGCGTGCATTTTCACCACACTCTTACTGGCATGTCAAAAATATTAGCAAACGCCGTAGTTCTCGAACCCTGGTTATCTGTTTTATAAAATTCCTATACTGAAATTCAACGTTTTAATTAACAACAACAGTAATTTGTTACTATTGTTGAGCCACGACATTGCAGTGTAGTGTGATCAAAGTTACATTGTAATAACCTATAAACTAACTTATAAATTAGCTAATTATAAAAAAAAAAAAATAGACTTGTTTACATTGTTGGCTTCGTATTTTAATTAAATTATACAGCGAACAATTTCGGAACTGCAGCAGAAATACGATTTGTCTTGTAATTATTATTCTAATTATTTGGCTTCCAACTTTAACGTACCGAATGAGTAGGTATAATAATTGGCTTCTCGACAGCAGTCCACGGACAACAATACTGGTTCTGACTTGCCGATGAACGGGTACCGTACCTATTATTATTATTCCAAAATATTGAAGTAAAAACCGAAAACGGCATTAGGGGATATTTTAATAATTCATAAGTTATAATTTATTATTATTGCTATTGTTATTAACGTATAGCCGCAGCCAAATAATAATATTTATGTGCGTGGGCAGTAGAAAATATTATATCAAGGTAAAATTTCAATTTATTTTACGTTTAATTTTGTACGCGTCTATAGTAATAAAGTTGATTCGTCAAGGAATATTTCATTAGTCGGCGACGATCATTGTTTTAATTAACGCGTCTGCTGATCCGACGTCCGCCAAACATTGTTATCATTTATCTCTGACAGAACAACAGAAAAAAAATAAAAAAATAAAAAAAAAAACAGACAACAAAACAAAAATATATAAACATGTATAATCATCATAGACAACAAAATCGTATAGGTGCACGCACAATACATATATATATATATATATATATGTATGTGCAGTTGGCTTGTATAAAATGCATCTATTATTAGAGTATTTTATACATATATAAAAAGGGGGGCAAAGGCTCCTGTCACATTATTTCAATTTAGCGGAACCGACCGGGCAACGACCCCGATTGTTTTGTGTCTCGCATTGTTCGGAAACATATATTATACACGACTCCCCGGACTTATCCTACGGTCGTTACCTGTCGCCGGACTACCGTATAATCAGTTGAAAAGAATATAAGAATTCTATTTTAAACAAAACATAAAAAAAAAAAAAAGTAGCAACGGCTGACATAAACCGAAATAATTAAAGCAGTGCGTGCCGGCCACCGACGACGACGGCGCGGTCGAAAAAAAAGGTACATTTTAACCGTCCGGTATTTTAAAGAAAAACAAGCTTATAAAAAAAAAAAAAAATACCGTGATACGGTCAACTTTTTGTTTTTGCCCACTAAGAAAAACTTCTGACAAAACTCGTGTAAAATTGAAAGGCATTTTCGCTTAGCCAAAGAATTTTAGCCACACACACAACTAAATGAAAAACAAAATCTCGAAAATATCAATTATGAGACTATAAATAGCTCGAAAATCGTCAGGTTGTTTTGAACATTTTACCACGTCTATATAAAGTATTATTCGGTAACCAATTCAGGACCCTACGGTTCATTTTAACCGAATTATAACAAATAAATAAAATAGAAAATAATGAAATGTTTTTTCCGTAAATGTCCTCGTTTGTTCTACATTTTTTTTCTCGATTTTTTCCAATTATTATGAACCAACTGAATGAAATTTGCTTTGAAAAAAAAAAAAAAAACGCTACGTTTGAATACTTGCACGATTTTCTGTAGAAAAAAGTTAAAGTAAAGTGTAAAGTTTTATCTTAATAAAACCAATACGCTCAGAATCTAAAAAAAAAAAATACAAAAATATATTTTCATCTCGTCGCGGAAATAAATGGACGGAGATCCATATAAGTGATGGGTAAGGTTTTCGAGTGATTTCACCCCGAGTCCGTTTGTCCGAGACATACGAGTCTTCGAAAAATTTTCTATACTGTCGGGACCCTCGCACAATGTCATTTCTCACATAGATAAACGAAAAACGAATGATGCGGTGCGGCATCATATCCGGGGTCGCATATACAAATAAAAATAAACCCCGACAAATACTATCACCCGATAAATAGATTTAAAACAGTGTTCGCACGAAATCAAAATGCCCGAAATTACATGCGCATTATGTTACAAGTATATTATAACATTAAAAATAATTTCAAATTTGTACGAGTCTTTTGAAATATTTGTCTTTTACTAGAAATCTTGAGCGAAACAAAAAAAACCACGAGAGCGCTTTTATGTAGCACTTTGGATCTAGGTAGTGCATTGAGAGGAAGTCATTTTTTGATTTTCCCAGTAGTTTTCACAATAGTTTTTAAAAACTATTGTATTGGAACACAGACAAGTTTACGGCAATTTATTATTTTGACTATTTTCATGTTTCTTCATTTGTATTTTTCTACAAAAAAATCTTAGTCCGAATTTCAAGAGTAGCATATTTGTTCAAAGAGAATATCGTCTAGTTGGCGTGTAAGAACGTTGTTTTTTGATTTTCTGTGTAGTTTTCTAAATAATCGGGGAAAACGGGAAAGTTTACGACATTAACGGTTTTATTATCTTCATTTTAAGTTTTTTGTTATATAGTAATTCAGTTAATACTAACGATTACGTACCTATTCAATTTTAAAATACAGAATATTTATGTTTGGCTTTTCTAGACGTAGTAAAACGTTGAAGATATTCTAGCGATTTTCGAACTATTTTAAACTATATAAACTGTATGCACAGTATATTGCGTATCGTATCTAATCGTGAATATTATCGTCCGATAACGAGTAATTGATTATTTTAAGTAAGTTATTTAGTATTGTTATTATTACTTAGTGAGGTATTTCATTAAATTTTATATGAAAACCATTTGACAAGGAAAGCGTTTTATCGGCAGTTAATTACATATTAAACGTTTGTCAAAATCAAGGATCTCGTAAAAAATGAGCGTATTAAGCGGGTTCTGCTGCATTTGACTTTGACATGTTTATGTTATCAGTTGGGTTCGGATTTGTATGTATTTACGTATTTGTCGCGAATGATAATATTCGAATGGTTCCTTTATAGAAATGTGCTACAGGACTATCTGATTATTTTAAGCTATAAAAAGCGAAACTCTGTGCGTTTTTCATTTTATTCATTAAATCTGTATATCACATTATATTAATATGTATATATGCATTTATCATTCATGAGAGGAAGGTGATTTTTATTTTCGATACCCGAATTTCTATAGGCCTTCTAAATGAAGCCAGAAGCCTGCCGTTTTGTATATGGCTTACGTCAGTATCAATGATATGCTTTTGAGAATTTAAACTTTGAACCCCGTCTTTTTTCCATTTTCTACTCAAATTTACCATTTTGTTTTGAAAGCGATATAGGTATAGTTGTAGTGTTGTGTAATAAATTGTATTATCATTATATATTCGACTACTCATTTATTGGTGTATTAAGAATATTTACGTATATAAGCGGGGGGATATATTTTACTCTAGAATAATACAGTGAAACCTCCTTATACCGGACCCCTATAAGGCGGAAATCTCCTTAAAATGAAAAACAATAGCAGTTCTGCATTACCTATATCCCTTATATACCAGTTTCCCAAGAACGGAAACTCCTTTATAACGGACAAATCAATTGGTACCGAGCGATTTCGTTATAAAGAGGTTTTACCGTACATAAATTCAAATATAATATGACACGGTATAATTTAGAATAGAAAATAGGATCACATTATTATTATTTTTAATCTAAAAAACGACATTGAATATTTAATTTGAGAGAATGAGGGAAGTTAAAAAAAAAAAGACGAAAAAAGAACTATTCAGAGGCATATAAATCTGTAAGTGTAACAAGTAGATGCGTAGCGATACGTCCACCCTTCATAATTGTGCGTTCCACATAACTATAGTAACACACCTATAGATTTTTTTGAAATCGCCGTAACGACTAAATGGTTAAAATAAATTATTATTAACAGTGTAGTTTAGTAGATTTGTTTCTAAAACAGAGTGTACTATTATCACTGTATAATACGTTTCTACGAATTTCGCCTCGCACTCCAGCCACTGGGATTCATATGCGAACACCGTCCGAGCACAAGGATCGCACCGACTGCTGAACGTGACAGTTACCGTTGTGTACGACGTGTAAAAACATTATGTGATCGCTGATGAATGATAACGTTTGAACGTTTACGGAAACAAAGGGCGGTCAGTATTGCCTTCGACGGTCGACCGTTGTTTACCTATTTTGTGTACTATAACGTATCACACGGACGCCCAGATACCGGGCAGTGGCGTGATTTTTCAGGTCCGCGTTAGCGTCGAGGGAGTGTCATATATCGGGACTACACTCGAGTGTAGGTCACAGTGCGGTTTTATCCACCTTCTTTTGGAAAGTTAGGCGTGTTCGTTTTTGGTATCGCCGTGTTTTTCCGTGGAGACACTATACGTCAATCCGTCTTTCGGTTGGCTAATTTTCGATATGCAGAATAACACGGATCAGAGTAATGTAGACCGGACACCGAGTGGCGGTATTCATAATTTTGAAATAAACACGCAAAGCCGAGATAATAGTTTAAATGTCGGTATCGACGTTCTTTCAGACAATGAAAACAATGAAGATTCGAACAGCCAAAGTATCGACAATAATTCAGCTGCTATAACGGACGACTTACTTAATATGGATGGTCGAGTAACGAGAAGACGAGTATACGCAGAGAATATGTGGGCTGAGCCATTGCCCGATTTAAGGGGTCAATTCAGAAATTGCAGTTTAACTTTTTATAGAGAAAATCCAACGCATACGTTAAGATTGCGTGCATTCGTCCTGAGAGAAGTAAATGTTTTAAGAACTCTTATTTCACTTGATATGACGCGTAGACCTCCCTTCGCAAGTACTAATGATGACGTTTTTACATCGTTTATAATGCGTTTAATCGTATTGTATGATATAACAAACACGCGTTTGACAACCATACTAACTCCTTGTGTTGGAAACTTCGCCGAGCATTTCCTCCACGAGCTATATAACTTTGCGAGTAGTCCATATAGATTGGTTGACTATGATCTTAATGTACGCTACGCTCGTGGTAGATATTTCTGTCGATACTCAATGCCGTATTCTGAGTATTCTGAATCAAACGACGAAGATATAGTTGAGCGACCAATATCTGTTACATCACCAGATCATTGGGACGAACCGAACGTAGTGAACACGGATGACGAAGATAATGAAAATTCCCCTTTTATTGTTATATCGCCGTCGCATGCACTTGTTCCGTCGGAAGTTATTGAAATTAATTCTGCTTCCGGGGAATCTGATGTTCAAATCATACACATTGATACTGAACCTTCTGCAGAAACAGAAAGGGATCAGCCGTTCCGGCCCGATCGTCAACCGAACTGTTCAAGTATGACACGGCCGAATGAGAGTCAAACAAATACTGTAGAGAACGTGATTAAAGATAGTTCGTCAGACGATGGGACAATCGAAATTAATACCCGCGGTACGCAAACTACGGGTACGAAACCGAAAGTTGTTATGAATAAGAGGAAAAGAAAAATCGAAACACCCAAGCTTGAGAAAAGAAAAAAGTATGGTGTTGAATTTCGACCTGAGGTTCGACTTGGCAGCGGAACTCGATCAAGCCCGGAGTCTTCGTTTTCAGACAATGCCGGCGCAAACTAAATTAAATTAATATATCCAATGTTCGCTCGTAAAAAAAAAAAAAAAAAAATTATATCGCATACATTTATTTTGATATCGTTTAGTTTAGACAGTAGTTGGATTTATAATTGTTTTCACAAATTCGTAAACCGTATAATTACCTAATGTTTTTTTCTTTCTTTAATATAAAAATACATAAAACATATTTTCGTTTTTTTTTTTTTATTATTATTTATTTTAATTTTAGTGATTACGATCAAAATTAATTCATTAATTTCTATTAATATTTCTATACCAATTTTGATCACGAACTCGTGTACACGCGTATTTATTATATATAATTAAGATTATTCCGAGAGTCCATAAGTTGTTTATTATTATTATTCTTATTATTTTTTTTTTTTTTTTTTTTTTTTTT